GGCGTGGGTAATATTTCGCACAAGATCTGGTTTTTCCACTCGCGTGACTACACTTGTCGGGTCCTCCGTGACACCGATCAGGTGCTGCACGTAGAGATTTTCGCTGACCACCTCCCGGAGCCCATCTTTCACACCTTAGTCTATGCCAAATGTACTAGGGTCGGGCGATATGACCTTTGGGACACCCTGCGTGAGATTGCCGAGAGTATGGAGGGATTGCCATGGATGGTTAGTGGCGATTTCAACATCTTTCTGCATCCCGATGAGCGTGTGGGTGGCCGCACGGACCGGTCACGGGAGATGTGGGATTTTGCTCAGGCAGTGGCGGACTGCGAGTTAATTGACGCTAGATGTGATGGTGACCCCTTCACGTGGGTGAGGGACGGACTCAAAGAGAGGTTAGACCGTGCCTTAGTTTCTGAGGCATGGTCGAAGGTGTTTGCGGTTACGACCGTCACACACCTTACTCGATTTGGGTCCGACCATTCACCCTTCTCATCCGGTGCCGATTTTCGAGCACCCGCCGCCGCTCTTCGTTTAGGTTCCAAAACATGTGGGTTCGCCACCACTCCTTCCACGACACTGTCAGGAATTCCTGGCTTCAGCCGACTGGGCTCTTCGGGATGCGCAATCTCGAGGCGAAGCTCGGCAGACTGCGGCGTCGGTTGAGACAGTGGAACTGGGATGTTTTTGGAAACCTTCATCAGCGTCTTGCTGCGGCTCAGAGTGCGCATGCGACGGCTGAGCAGGCCTATGACCTGGATCCCACTCCGAAAAATAGGACTGCCATGCACCGCTGCCACGCCGAGTACCAGCTCCGACTCCTTATGGAGAAGGATTTCTGGAAGCAGAAGGCGGCCGTTCGCTGGGTGGCCGAGGGCGAGCGGAACACTAGGTTCTTCCAGGGCTACGTTAGGCAGAAGCGTGCTAATTCGTACATCCATAGTATCGAGGCTGATGGGTCATCCTTGACCCAGGAGGCTCAGATTCGGGAGTCGGCTGTTGCTTACTTCCAGACCCTCTTCACCTCTGACAGAGGGTCCCTCGTGGCCCCGAACGCTTCTTTTTTCCCCACCATCCCTCCTTCGGTCGATCTCATTGGCCTCTGTGAGCTCCCGAGCAGGGAGGAGGTTAGGGATGCTGTATTCGGGATTGATCCCAACAGCGTTTCTGGCCCGGATGGTTTCTCCTCCCTCTTCTATCAGGTCTGCTGGGATATTGTCGAGACTGACGTCCAGGAGGCGATGTTGGATTTTTTCTCAACGGATGCCGGATTCCTTCACGTCTACCTCTGTCTTCTTGATCCCCAAACGACCCAACCCGAGCTCTTGGTCCGATTACAGGCCCATCAGCCTGTGTAACGTGACCAACAAGCTCATTTCGAAGATTCTTAACGGCCGTCTTTCCCCTCTTCTCCCCTCTCTCATCTCTTCGAACCAGAGTGGATTCGTCAAGGATCGGGTCATTAGTGATAACATCCTTCTGGCCCAGGAGATGATCCACGACATCTCCCGAGCGGACTGGAAGCGGGCTCCGAATATCGCGCTGAAGCTAGACATGGCTAAGGCGTATGATAGGGTTGAGTGGCCGTTTTTTAGGGAGGCGTTGGCTAGGATGGGATTCCCTAAGCGTTGGATCAGCTTTGTGGAGGCGTGTGTGGAGCATTGCACGTTCTCAGTCCTGATTAATGGCAGTCCCACCGATTTCTTTCCCTCCTCTAGAGGCCTTAGACAGGGCGACCCTCTTTCCCCTTCCCTCTTCGTTCTTGCGGCGGACTACCTCTCTCGCTGCCTTGACGGCTTCATCCGCGACTCTCCCCACATGACCTATAGCACCTGTGGCTATGGTCCTACCGTCTCTCACCTCTCTTACGCGGATGACATCATTATCTTCACCCGGGCGGATGATGATGGACTGGTCGAGCTTATGCGCCTTTTGGAGCACTATGGCTTGGTCACCGGTCAGCTGGTCAG